AGAGACATCTCCTGAGGCTGAGGAGAGACAGCAGAGAGATGACACCCCAGAATCAGAGGAACAACATAAAGAGACATCTCCTGAGGCTGAGGAGACACAGCAGAGAGGGGACACACCAGAATCAGAGGAGCAACATGAACAGTCATCTCCTGAGGCTGAGGAGGAAGGAGCAGCTGCAGTGAAACCAGATGAGGGAGGTGCTGATGAAGATGAATCTGGAGCAGAAGCAGCAGACGAGCCTGAGGATGTCCAACATGAGGGGAAGGTGGAAGAACACACCACACAGGAAGCTGTGCCAGAGGAATCCCATGATGCAACAGAGACATTGGAAGTAGTGAAAGATGCTCCTGCAGAACAAACTGCAAAGGAGGTAAATGACCAGGCGAAAAAAGAAGAAAGTGAAATAGAGGGAAGGAAAGCAGAACTTGCAGCTGCATCTGAATCAAAGCAGACAATCAGGGACAGGATCCCAGAAAAGGATGAAACAGAAGTAAGAGAAGACAGGCAAGACCAATCTAAAACCGAGAAAGAAGCTTCTGGAGTAAAAGCCTTAAAGGAGGTGACAGACAGAGAGAAAACAGAAGAAAAGGCAGCAGAAGACAAACCTGTGTCTGAAGCTAAGTCCCAGAAGAGTGACATTGAAGTGGCCCTGGAGAAGGATGAGAAAGAAGAAGTGCAGTCAGAGGAGCCTTCTGAGGACACAACCCAGAGAGAGGAAACCAAAGAGTCTTCAGCAAGACCACAGGAGAGCCCAGTAAAAGAAACTGTAGAAGATCAATCAAAGGAGCACAGTGTTGTAGTGGAGGAAGTGGAGGCTGCAAAGGAAAAGAGCCCACAGAAAGAGACAGCACAGGATCCCAAAGAAACATCAGTCAGACCCACAGGAAAGGAGCTTACAAGACCTACGTGTGAAGAGGGTGAAGAAAAGCCCACTGGTGTCAGAGCAGAACTTGACACCAGTCAACACAGTCCTGCAGAGGAAAAGGTGGACACAGTGATGGCAGCAGAGGTTTCTGAGTCTACACCTGAAAAGACCGTACAGGAAACAGAAGACAAACAGGCATCCAAACACCTCCTGACAGAGGAAAGAGCAGAACCACTGGCATCAGAAAAGGGGGCTTCAGGACCCGAGATTGAAGCAGAGACAACAGCTGCAGGTGCTGAAACTGAATCCACAGACCTTCAGGAACAGGAGAGTGTGAGTGAAGTCAAGCCCACAGAGAGCAGCGGTGACAAGAGTGACCACACCCACGAGAGAGCAGAGTCAACGGTCAAGGCCAGCGATTCAGTGGACAGAGACTCACAGAAGGAAGACACATCCGCTGATCAGAAAGACGCAGCTAAAGAATCAGAAGGTTCCCAGAAGCTGGAGTTGACACTGTGTCCTAAAGAAGGACTGGAAGCTGACAGCTTTCCAGGCACCAGGGAGAAGAAGGATAAAGAACCAGAGGAACCAACACAACAGGAACAGGAGGGAAGAGCTGAACAGAAACAAGATCCAGTGAAGGAACTCAGCGCAGGACCGAAATCTCAAGACCCTTCAGCCCAAAGGGAGAGACCATCTGAAAGCACAAAGACAGACAAGCGGGGGGACATGAAGCACACAGAGGGGATTCCACAGAAAGAGAAGCAACTGGAGAGGCCAGGCAGCCCAGGGCCCGATACCAAGGAATTAACTGCCAGCAGCTCCACAGACCTTAAAGCAGTCAAGGACACAGAAGTGCCTTCAGAAGACTCACAGGTAGCAGTAGAAATCAA